AAAGCTGCGCTCTTCCTTTCTTCTGTCCATCAAGAGATAATCCACGGGCAGCATTCTGCTGATGTCAAAACTGTAAAAAGTGTGCTGTCCTCAGTTCTGCCCGCTAGAACCACCGGAGTGAGAGAAGGTTCTGCTCGGTTGGAATGGAGACACTTTTGGACCGAGGCTGAACCGAGCCGAACCGCAAAGCTGCTGCCAGGGTGGAGATTAGTTGTCACTCCAGTTTAAAACATACACAGTTCTATTCCCCCTCGGAAAACTTGTGCGTGACAACTTTGCACTTCGCTTCAACTCTGTTTCTGATGAAAATAGAAAGTTCTGCCGACATTCTTGCTAACTTGTTAGCGCAGCATGTTGTTGTGATCACGTGAGCTCTGCATGCTGGATCCAAGCGCTGCTGGATAGAAACACTGGAGTGGAGGCAGTGAACTGCTGGAACGGACTGCTAATATCGGAGCGCTTACATCGGACATTTTTTTATGCAGGCCGATAAAATCCGATACTTGTTTTTTGGCTGATATCGGACCGATATCCGATATCAATATCGGATCGGGACACCCCTACTTTTTGTGATAAGATGTGTTCCTGTTGGTCGCTTAAGTGTGTTTGTTCAGTTAAATATAGGAGGTTAGGTGTGTTTTCTGAGTTGGAAGATGGTGAATTTTAATATATTGTAATTAATAATGTCTTATGAACATTTTGTTTGTGCCAGTATTTGTCATCTTATTGTTGCAAGATAAAGATCAGTACAGCTCATTTTTTGTTTCTTTTTGTTGATCAAACCACAAAATGAATTTGAACTTTTTTAACTCCAGCCAAGTCCAGACAATAACGTAGCGCTAGGAAAACAACTGTAAACAGGACAGCAGCTCAAAAAATTAATAAATAAAATAAATAAGGGCGGCACGGTGGCTCAGTTGGTAGAGCTGATGCCTCTCAGCAAGAAGGTCACCGGTTCAAATCCCGGTCCGGGGACCTTTCTGGGTAGAGTTTGCATGTTCTCTCCGTGCATGCGTGGGTTCTCTCCGGGTACTCCGGCTTCCTCCCACAGACCAAAAACATGACTGTTAGGTTAATTGATAACTCTAAATTGTCCCTAGGTGTGAGTGAGAGAGTGAATGCTTGTTTGTCTTGTTTGTCTCTATGTGTGGCCCTGTGATGGACTTGCGACCTGTCCAGGGTGTACCCCGCCCCTCGCACTGTGACTGCTAGATATGGGCACCAGTGACCCACGCGACCCTAAAAAGGAAGAAGCGTGTACAGAAAATGGATGGATGGATGGATAAATAAATAAAAAATTAATCACGATTAATTGTGGTATTTAGCCAATAACGATTAATTTGATGATTAATCCCTTGGAATCCCTGGATACTCTTATTTCGTAGTCACATGACCAATTTAGTGGGAAAGATTTGCTCTTTATAAAGAATTGTTCCAAATTGTGTGAAAATTACAGATTTTAGGCTATACATCACGTTTTAAATTATGTATAGATAAATACATTACAGAACTTTATTTTTAATGTTTGTCATATCTGAAGCGGAGAGGAGCACTGACCGGACTGACCGGAGTAATCCCCAGTCAGTCTGCCTGGTGGCATTAATCATATTAATTGTCAAGTGCCAAAAAAGTAATCAATTAATGTTTTTCTGACGATTAATTGCACACGATATGATTATGCCCAACCCTATTAACACCGATGCCTCACAGCAAGAACGTCCTGGGTTCTATTCTTGGTTCGGACCTGAGGTCTTTCTGTGAGTTTGCATGTTCATCTCGTGCTTGCTGGGTTTTCTCCTGGTACTAGTTTCTTCCTACAGACAAAAACTTATAACAGGTTGCCTTCAGGCCCAGACCTCCCTTGCAAAAGAGATCTGTGATCTTAGTGGGATTTGCCAGGTTAAATAACAGTAATTTTTTAATTTAATGTCGTTAACACATAAGAAAGTTACAGATGTGTCATCGCAGCGCGAGATGACTCACCTTGACTGTTAGAAAATTAACTAGCCTGCAAAAGAAAAATGGCTTTTGTATCCAGGATTATTTAACCTTCTGTTGCAGCGTTTTTGTTTTGTTCATTTTTTGAAACTGTACTTTATATAATGTGTTGCTGTGGGGTTGAAATAAAAGTTTTTTTTGGTGAATGCTGTGTTTTTTGCCGCACCTTTTAGACACCCAGTTTGCCCTTTCCGATCTTCACTCTCACACTGAGTCAGGCAAAGCTTTCCTGACGCTTGCTTTACTCTAATGTCCTCTTCTTTCCTATACAGCAGCTCTGGTCTCGGCATCATAGTGCAACAACCTGTGGGCTTTTCAGCTCAGTCTGTTACCACAAAATTTACTTGTGTGGCTCGTGGTACGTTTTAAGTCATCCAACAGCACGAGTGGTGCAGTGACCTTTCGAAATGTTTGCAAAAACATTTTGTGGAGAGGTTTTTTTAAACGTATCCGTACCTGATTGGCAGCATCATTACTGTCTTTTCAAAAACTGTTTAAACCACTTTGAGAATTATGAGGTCATTTTGGGATGAAGCTTTAATTTAATTAGAAACCAGCAGAAGACAAACCTGTAAACTCATCACCACCATAACGTTTCTGCATGGTATCGGGTATGACAGTTTACAGATTACTATGTGGTGGGCCCATCAGTCCAAAAACCCCTGAGGAATGCTGGGGTTCTCCCATGAAAAATATGACTTCTTCATTGCACCTTATTTTCCCCTCATTCTTTAACTTTTTCTTCTCAATGTTTGMATCACACTTGGTCATGAATTACACTCAAATGACCTTTAGTTTTCTCCCTGCTTTTACTTTCTGATCCTTTCTTTTAGTCTTGTTTTTTATCTGTTTGAACTCTCATTTCTCCATTTTTGTCATACTACGGAGTACTGGGAATTGTGAGTTTTGTTAAAGGGAAAAAGGATGTAACTATTGACCTCTCCATTATTTATTGCAATAATAAAAACTTCGGAGTTGTTCACCTGTGTTGAACTACAACTATTGAATTTTCACATATTTATTACAAAAAAATGTTAGCGATTACTTGTGTTGATACGCAAATGCACCAAAAAGTTATCCAGATCAGTGAAGCAAGGACCATTATTATAATTTTTGATCCTAAAATGCCCAGACAGAACACTGAATTCTTAAAAATTATTTGTAGAAGTTTATCAACTATTCTTTTGTTCCTAATTGTTAAACTTCTTTGCACTGGAATCTCCCAGTTAATGATTTCCTTGTGAATTATAAACATTGCCTTCCAACAGTAACTGTAAGTTATAATTTGCTATAAATTATAGTTTATAGTTTCCAGTATGCGAGTTTCATAATAAAAGTAGTGGTGTAATAATAATAAAAAATATAGTTGTAAAACTATATAAATATATAATTATCCCAAGTTCCCTGCTGGAGCTGCAGAAATGTATTACTTCATTTTTTTTATTTTAAATTTGCTTCTTTGTTTCAGAGAACTGGGTTAAATTATATTTAAATGCAGTGGTGGGCAGCACTAATCCAAAAATTAGCTCCGCAATTTCCAAAGTGCTTATGAAAATATTTAGGTCCGCAACTTCAAAAGCGCTTATGTCATAGAAAAACTAGCGGAAGCTAATTTTAAAGCGCAAGTTCAATTTGACACTTAGTAGCTGGCAACAATTCATGTACAATATATGCACAACACTGCCAACTAGCGGTGTATGAATCCTTTTACAGCTTAATTCTACAACCACCGATTGCTGGGGTTGTGATTTCCTGAAACAGAACTTTAGCTCCTGGTGTAAAAATTAAAAAGTTGTTGAGGATTGCTAGTTCGGTTGATTGTTTAAAAAGTTGTTGAGGATTGCTAGTTCGACTGCTTCTTTGTCTTTTTCTTTTGTTTGTTGTCTATTTTTCATTAAAGAAGCATCAATAAAGTAATTTTAAAACTGTTTATTGGAAAACTGAAGCGATACATTCTGGGTACATGACGGATTTGATTTGTGATGGGAAACGAAAGCACAGAATACAGGAAAATATCTTCCCTTCAAAATAAGAGCTTGGATTTTAAAGTTTTCCATGTAGTTGTTCCAGTTGACCACTAGATGTCCGTCTTCATCAGCATAACATTTAAATCATTTCTGCGTGTCTAACCCCATTGGCCGATTGCTTCGACCAATTACGTCAAGTATTGAGCTCCAGTGTTTAAACTTTATTATTGTTATTTTTTTTAMAGGAGCGCCGATTGTAAAGTAAAATAAATCAATACATACAAAATTTTAGTATGGATTACAAACATGTAACTGTTTTTGCTATTGCCTTCCTGCTACGTAAGCAGACACAAAGCGTTGTGGGAAATCAGAACCGTGACCCAAAGCAACAGTCAGCAATGATGTATACCTTTCATTAAGTGTGTTTATCTGGGAGGGGTGCTGTTGGATAAATCATGTGTTGTGATTCATTGACAGCCATACCTTCTGCTGTTCAAGATAACAATGTCTGGTAAATAATTAATTATTAGCGGTACTGCATTTTAATTTTAGAAAGCGCAAATCCACTTATGAATTATAAACATTAGTAAGACCGCTAAAGCGCAAACGAAATATTTAGGTCCACAATTAGCGGATTTGCGCTTTAGCAGACTGGTGCCCACCACTGCTTAAATGTCTTAGAGGTCAATGAACTTCTGAAAAATAAAATGAATAAATGAGCCTGTTCATCTGCAACTGAATAAAATTGGAAGTTAATCCAATAAAAGGTGGCTGCCGCCAACTGACTATGAAAACACAAACCTGACTATAGTTCTGTTGTTTTTACACGTTGAGCTGAAATTCAGTGTAGACGCACCTCAAAGTCTTTCACAGCAGATACAATCCTTTAACTGTGACATCTCATAGTAACTCATAAGATTGCTCATAAAACGTTTTTTTGTGAAGGTTTGACCAGAACAACTCTGTCATTTCTTAACCAAAGAGGTTTGAAAGTGGTCTGCGTCGTTATTTAAACTTCATCTTTGTTTCCTGCAGGAGCTCTGACTGAATGTTACGATGAACTGGGGAACCGTTACCAGCTGCCAGTCTACTGCCTCTCTCCTCCCGTCAACATGATCGAAGAGCGCTCCGATGAGCCCGACGGCTCGGATCCAGACTCCGTGACGGCGGACCCCTCCACAGGCGGTGCCGGCGACCCCGTCCCGGGAGGCGAGTGTCAGCTCCGGCTCCGGCTCTCCACGGGCCGCGACCTCCGGCTGGCGGTCCGCTCCACGGACACGGTGGGCATGATGAAGCGTCGCTTGCAAAGCCAGGAGGGCGTGCCCGCGTCGAGCCAGCGCTGGTTTTTCTCAGGACGGCCGCTGACTGACAGGCTGCGCTTGGATCAGCTCAACATTTCCAGGGACTACGTAGTTCAGGTTATCCTCAGCCAGCGTCCACCACCAGAGCCTGTAACTCCACCAGGACACACAGCAGAGGCCTGTGGGCCAGCGGAAGGAGTGTCCGCTCTCCCCGAGGAGCCGACGCCGGTGGAGAATTGAATGTGAACAGTGTAAAAGAAGAAGAAAAAGGCACAAACAGAATTAAAGTCCATTCTTCTCCTCTGTGCTGTTCGCTTGTTTTTGCTGAGAAGGGCTACGTCAGAACAGAGGTCAGCATCCGCTGGCGTTTTAAAAACTCTTTTTGGAGAAAAGACTCTTTTGGTTTTACACGTTTAAAATTTTGACCCTTTTTTGAAGTCTTTTTAACTGTTCCTATGGAAACCAGAGTACAAAAAGCGAACTTTGTTAGGTGGTTTAAAGGGTTTTCCTGGCAGCACTAAAGGCAAAATGTTTGTCAGTTTCCTTTAAAGTTCTATTCAGAGACGATCGACGAGATGAACTGTGATTACGAGGCCACAGGGTTTTAAACACGTTTTTAATTCAGACAGTTAAGTAAATGCAACTATTCCACAGTAAAAGAAGTTATTCAGGCTTTTTAGCAAGAACATTTCAGTCAAAGGATTAATGTATGTGAGAGCTAACAGCTGTGAAATMCATTTCTTATCGTTAGCACAGAGATTTTAGTCCTATATTGTCTAAGTGGCAGTCAGGAGGCATGGCTGTGTAATTTACCAAGCTGCTGCTGGGTTCAATACTTCACTCTGCTTCACTGAACAATCAAACCAATCATTTGATAAACTGTAAGTAATTATCTTTTTTGTGTGTGAATGAGTGTGCGTGGATGCTCAGGACACAAAACACACTTCAACCATGCGGCGAAAGGATGGACATCAGAAACACGATTGCATATTTTGGTTAAAAATAGAGTGTTTTTAAATAAAAAAATGGTCATTGCTGATATTCCTTAATCCCTGTCTAATTGTATTATTTTTCTCCTCTTTGATGTGTAGACAAATATCCATCCACTTAGACGAAAAGCTGAGACCAAGAAATAACATATATATCAAAAAGAAAAAATAAGTAGGTCCTCTGGATGAGTTCTTCTTTAGTGAAACTTTTCGTCTCTTCTCCAAGAGACTTCTTTAGTCTGATGAGTTTCAGGTGAACTCAGCCTTATAAGCACTGCCTCCACATGGACAAACAGGTTAGTCACATGCAAAAGAGGGCCATCCCTAACAATAGGCTTGATTAGCTCTATTGTTCATAGAGGGTCATGTGCCCCATCACCTGATTTATTGGTTTGGATGCTGTGGTTCTTAGGTGTCGTCATGTGTATGTAGTGAATGTAAGCGGGGCTCAACGTCCCCTTGTTTTTGTTTTTCCCCTCTTTGTGTTGGTATCATTGGGGCCCTGATTCACACCTTTTGCTCACAGRGGGCTGAGTCATGCAACAACAGCATTGTAGGAGGACAACTGGACACGAAGGCCTCCACCTCTGTTTAATGGTGGACGGTTTTTCTTCACAAAGATGGCTTCCTTTACTCCTCGCTCAAACCAACGTTCCTCTCTATCAAGGATGAGAACATCTTCATCCCTGAAAGAGTAGCCGCTGGCCTGTAGATGAGTGTAAACTGCAGAATCCTGACCTGTAGATGAGTGTAAACTGCAGAATCCTGACCTGTAGATGAGTGTAAACTGCAGAATCCTGACCTGTAGATGAGTGTAAACTGCAGAGTCCTGACCCGATGAAGTAGCTCATCTGTGCTGGCTCATTCTTTTGAACAGAGGCTGTTTTGTTTCCCGATGTATAACTGATCACGGTCCTCCTGACACTTAGCATATACTATATGTTCACCTGAAACTCACCAGACTGAAGAAGTCTCTTGGAGGAGAGATGAAACGTTTCACAGAAGAAGAACCCATCCAGAGGACCTACTTATTTTATCTTTTTGATTTTTTTCTACCTGGATTACTGAGATGCATCAGGACAACACATCTATATATTTATGAAGATTTGCCTTTTTAGATTTTTTGTCAGTGCAACAGAATTTGTGTTATTTTTTGGTCACCAAGTAAAGCTACAACCAGACATTTAGGGATCCAACTTACCTGACTTTAGCTTTAAGAAAAAAATCACTAACCTTAACATAAATTGTTTAATTTGCATTCTAAAAGCTAAATGTTGAAACCAGTTTGGAAAATGTTCAAAATTGTCACAATGTAAATGCTAAGGTAAACAAATTATACCCCATCCATTATTATCCCCATTATTACCTAATTTCCCTCTGGGATCAATAGAGTATTTTTGAATTGAATTGAATTGAATCTACAGAGTCGACACTCAGAGGTCAGCTCTTTACAAAGGCTAGTTTGTAATAATAATAAAAAAAAATCTGCATCAACAGCAATAAAGGAATTTTACTTCTGCTCATACATCCTCCTTTAGGTTTGACTAAAGTGTATCTAGAAATATTTGCTGAAAGACGGCGTGCAGTTTGGGCCTTTCATGGTGCGTTTCTGCRTCGGCATGTTCTCCATATGCAGGTGTGGGTTTTCTCCGGCCTGTCCTGTTTCCTCCCACAGTCTAAAATCACATGTAGGACGAACTGGTGGTCTAGATTTTGACTTCAGGTGTAAGCATCTCTGCGATGAAACTGGGCAACCTGCCCACTTGCCCCGTCGACTGCTGACTTAAACTACAGAACAAATGGAAACATGTTGAAGTGAGTGTTTGATTTTGCCTCACTGGTCCAAAAGCTCAGTCTCCTTACAGCATCATAAAAGAAAGACAAAGCAGCTTCTTTACCCCTCGATTTCCCCTTTTCGTATTTTCATTTCCTTCTTGAAGTCGACTCACTCTACACAGGTAGAATATGGGAACTTTGTTGGAAAAAACCACTGTTATGCAAAAACACTTGGAGAAAACAAGTGATTGTCTGCTGGTATCTGCTTAACAAACGTCACTCCTCTGGTGATGTAACATGAATGGAACTTCAGCCTGTTGGGTAACCCAGTTCTCAAATGTAGAGGAAGTAGGAGAGTTAATTAACAACTTTATTTGTATGTAAAAGGTTACACCATTATTAAGCTTAAGGCAGAAGAGTGGATGTGGTTTAAAACGTGTAGTTCTCACAAGAGTTTAAAACAAAATGTTTTGATTTCATTCAGAAAAAAAAGTTTTTACTTTCATTTGAACACAGTGAAAATCAAGGTTTAGATTTTTTATTTTTGATTAATGTAAGAGTTGTATTTATGTGTGAAGAGGAGCAGTGGCACGGTATTTCCTTTCAGAGCAGCGTATTAAGGGAAAGTGAGAATAAGTTCAGTGGTTAATTCAAAACCACAATGTGCTCTCTGCTTCAGTCATACTCATCTGTTACCTTTTTTCACAAGCAGAAAAAAAACTACCAGAGTTAAAGACAGTGTAAATATAGCAAATGTTCTCATTAGCAAAAGTAAAAATAAACTCTAATGGCCTGACTAAATGTTGGTGGTGGTGGAGGATTAAAAAAACAGAATAATGAAAACTCCTGCATAGATCAGTACAGGTAATTTTCCAAATATTCTAGTTAGAATTTTTCCTTTTCAGTAAGTAATTACAGGCTTTCCAAACTACCCTCTGTAGTCTCTGTGTGTTATTGTTCTCTTAAAAAAAGGATCTTTTATTTCATCAAAGGAGTGTTTTTGTGGAACTGTAAACCCAGACAGGTTCTTGTTCTCATTCTAAAGAAGTCTCATGACCATGACAGGACGCTTGATTAATTTTCCTCATGTGCATCTCACTTGTCTTTTTCAGTTCCATGTTTCCTTCACTTTGTCCTCACTTCCTCCTTGGTAGTGAGTGTGGTTGAGCAGTGATGCACCGAGCTTCTCGTGAACACTGGAACAACATAAACTGCTTCTTTGTTTATCATCTTTTGTCAGCTCCCTCACGACTGCATGAGATGCTGAGCAAAAAGGTCCAGATTTCAGAAAAGAAAACAAATTGGCAAAAAAGAAAGAAAGAAAGAAATATATTCACGTGTGTGTGTGTGTAGTATGCATCTTTTTACAAGTTTGTTTTCTCTATATATACACATGTATACGTACGTGTATATAT